TAAAAAAAAAAAAAAAAAAAAAAAAAAAAAAAAAAACCCTTCTGCGACCCGCAGACGGTATAATGGTTACGTCGCAAGATTCCTACATAGTTGACCACGATTTGAGTCCGAACCTGGTGTCTTAAAATTCACGCCAGGCACGCGCGCGTGTGTGTGTGTGTGCCCAAAACCCCAAGAGGAGAATGGAGGAAAAGGGACTGCACTGTGGACATCCCCTGTGGGGAGTGATTTTTCACTTCCTCTCTCTCTCTGACTCTCTCTGTCTCTATGATGAGGGCACGTATCCTATCGCAAAAGATCTCTCAAAAAACAAAAACAAAAACAAAACTTCTGCACCAGAACCCCAATACATAAAACTGACCAGTCAGGGTGGTTTGGCCACAGTCAGGGGCTAGAGCTTCCCGTTCCAACACGGTGGCCTCTAGGGCATCTCTGAACACCAGAAGGGCCACAGTTCAAAGCCAGAGCTGCCAGTACTGGGGAGCCCAAAAGGTTTTGGTGCCTACGACCAGTATAATTCCGGCATCTGAGGAGGAGGGAGAACAGAGGTGCAGAGTCCAAGACAGAGTGAGAGTGGAGATGGGGGACAAGATGGGGGAAGGGGGGCTGAGAACTTGCTGCATGTCTGCAGCTGGCCCTCTGCCCCCACGGGACCTCATGGGTCACTGTACGGGAATCCCGACACGTCTGTTCTGTCCCTCCTCGGGCTGTCCGTGCTCCTGGTACGCCTGTCTCCTGTCCCCCCATGCCAGCCCACACGGCATCTCCACAACACGACTGAGGAACAGAGGGCCCCGGGCTGGCCGGTGGGGTGGTAGTTAGGGAAGCTGAGTCCCACATGGCTGACTGCGCAGGTCTGAGCCCTGGACCCAGAGCCTGACGAACACACCGGCACGTGTGCATACGTGCCCACATCCCAAAAGGAAGGAGAAACGGAGAAGGGGTGGCAGTGGACCCTGCCGCAGGAGGGGGAGCTTCTTCCTTCCTCTTTCTCTGTCTGTCTCTCTGGCGGTGCATGTGCCCCCCTGCCCCCCGGGAGGGCAGCTCTCTAGGCTGGCAGCCGCTGTGCTGGTCTGTGAGGATACTCACCCCGGGAATGTCCAAAAGCCTGGACACCAGAAGAGGCAACTTCAGGGCTGCGACACTCCCAGTGACCCCTACGAGGACGCGGAACGTCTTCCCGGCCGAGAGTGCAGGAGCAGGACACGAGGCGCTCGGTTCCATGTGGGGTCCGGAGGCTTCGCGCTCTGCGATCACGCCAGGCCTGAGCTCCATAGCGCTCCGCCAGGACCCGGGATCTAGAAGAACAAAGGGCCCTTCGTTCTCGCTCTGACATGTATCGCGCGTCCTGCGTTAGACTTGACACCAGGAGCTGGCGAGGCTGCAGGGATAGGCAGGCCCAGCTCTGGGCGCGCAGACCCCACCCCACACGTGGGCCAGGTACAATGTGATGGGGGGAGTGCCGTGGCTGCCCGGTGACTGTCACAGAAGAGACGGCAGGCACGTTGAGTCCTTAATGATGGGTATGTTTTCCAGAGAAAGGAAGAAACAGCTTTGAAAAGAGGAGCCATCGTGCAAAGGCGAGGAGTCCCGCCGGCTGTGGACAGGCAGGGGCTCAGCAGTGTGGCTGAGGGTGACACAGGGCGGGGGAGCAGGGGAGGCCGCATGATCAGATCAGATGGAGGCCAGAGTGGCACTGGGGGTACGGGCCAGGGCAAGGGGTACTGTTAGGATGATGCTGAGGGCCAACAGGTGATATGGTGGCTAAGGTGCTGGATCTCATATGGCCAGCTCCATGGTTTGAGTCCTGGACCCGGCAGCTTGGAAGACACACCAGGCACCTGTGCATGGACAAAATCCCAAGACCAGAATGGAGGAGAAGGGATTGCAGCATGGTCATTCCACCCCCCACCCCGGGGGGCAATTTCTTACTTTCTCTGTCTCCCTCATGCGTCCTATGACAAAATCTAAAAAATAAAAAATAAAAGAAAGAAGAAAAGAAAACAGTGCTGACACCGGCGACAGTGGGAGGGGCCAGGCTGACTGACTGGAGGAAGTGGCAGCGAGATGGAACCCCAGGCTGCAAAGGGGCTTGGGTGCCTCGGGGAGCTGAGAGGTTGCCTCCATTCCTTTCCCCAGAGATGAGCTCAAGGGGGATGGGGCAGCCCCAGGACTGCAGTAGGCTCCTTCCTCTGGCTCTGAGATGTCGCTAGAAGTGATGCACACGGTAAAGTGCCCGGTGGACACGCCAAGACCTATGCCCTGGCAGGCTGGGCAAGAAACAATCTCCGAGCACTGATCCACGGAGCACTGGGCAAAGGAATTGTGGCAGACAGCCCTGCCCTCCGGGGCTCTGCAGGTGTTCCGGAAGACGGGGGTGACACGTGAAGCTGAGATGGGTCCTGGTCTGGCGTGCACCTCCTGTCGCCAGCGCCTCGATCTGCACCCGCTTCCTCGTCTCTTTTCCAGCAGCAAATTCCCTGAATGTGACCGAGTCAATGTCCAGCAGCCCACGCTCAGGCAGTCCCGAACACGTGCTGAGTAACAGATGGGACCCTCTGGGCGGTGCGGGGCTGAGGACAGAAGACCCAGGACTCAGCAGTCGCAGGTCCTGTCATAGTTGTGCTCCTAACCTGGCGTGTGACCGGGGAACAGGGCCGTTCCCTCTGTGGACCTTCTGTCTTCATCTGAAACATGTGGAGGTAGGACCGAGTGCTCTCTGATGCTCCTTCCAGCAGAAACCTTCCGCCGAGGCATGAAAGACGAGGCTAAAGGGGCTCTCTTTCTCTCTCTCTCTCTCTCTTTTTTTTTTTTTTGAGAGGTTTTTGTACTAGAGCTTGTGCACTCAATGGGAAGACAGAGACAGAGACATGAAGTAAGAAATCACCTCCCCCACCAAAGGGGGATGGCTATGTTCCAATCCCTTCTCCTCCATTCTCCTCTCAGGATCTTGGGCACACACGGATAGGTACCTGGCATGAGTTTTAGGTCACTGGGTCCAGGACTCGAACTGTGGTCAACTACATGGGAGTCTAGCAACATAGCCATTATGCCATCTGCTGGTGCCTAATGGGGCTCTCTTAACAGACACATGTCCTGAAAGATGTGCTCAAAGGGCAGGATCGGCAGGGGAGGGAAACCCAGACAGATCCCAAGTAAGGAAGTAAAATGAGCTGCCCAGTGGCTTCCCCACGGCAACGGCTCCCCATGGCTGGGTGCCCAGAGGCCTCCTCTCCATGCACAGGCCGGTTTTTTTGTTTGTTTCTAAGAGAGATTTTTGCTATAGGGTGCATGCACTCACTGGAGAGAGAGAGAGAGAGACAGAGAAGGAGAAATCACCCCCTAGGGGGGATGGCCATGCTGCAATCCCTTCTCCATTCTCCTCCCAGGATCTTGGGCACTCACACACACATGAACCTGGTATGAGTTTAAAGCCTCCAGGTCCGGACTCGAACTGCGTTTGACTACATGGGAGTCCAACAACATAACCATTATGTCATCTGTGGGTCCCAGGCCCTGTGACTCCTGGGGCATCACTGGGCAACCCATATGGGCTGAGGACCATGTCTGGCTCTATGACCCCACTTCTACCTGGACCCTTCTAAGCGGGGGTTAAGCACAGGCTGGTTCCCAGGAGCAAGATCCCTGAAGTTCCATCTGCCAGCAGTCTCAATCTCTGCTCTACTTCAGGGCCCCAGCCAGAGCCATGCTAGTCCAGAGTCCAGAGCTGGGGCGCGCTGGCGGCACTGGCGAGGTTCTGCTTCACAGAACGCATTGCCAGGGCGTGACGGAGGGACATTCCTGGTTCCCCAGGAAAATCTACCTGCCAGATCTCAAAACTGGACCCTGTTGCACCCCTGCCAACAGGGAAACTCCTGCAAAACCAGAAGGCGAATGTCATCTCTGCAGCCCCTGAACCTCATCACACTGTCACCGTTCTTAGGGACTAGGGCACAGAATACAGCTAAGCAGGCTGGAATCCATCATACTGGTGACTTCAACCGCTTCCTCCCAGCAGGGAGCACAGCCCAAGACACACTACGTAGCTGCTGAGCACGCTTTGGTAAGGTGGGGGGGACACAGGTGGCATGTAAGACAGCTGGATCCCTCCCACAGGGCCGACTGAGTGGTTTGAGTCAGTGGCTTGAAAAACACACCAGGCACATGTGCATGCATGCCTAAAATTCAGACAGAAGAACGGAGAAGGGAGTGTGGTGTGGTCATCTCCCCAGGGCAGAGGGTGACTTCTCTCCTGCTCTTTGGCAAGCGCACATGCCCTATAGCAAAGCCCCCCTGCAAAAAAGTTTTGCGAAAGACCAAAGGTTAACTATCTTTCTAGAAAAGAAGGCAGGGTGTACGTGGAATATGCTCGAGGAAATAGAAAGTTGATCGTTTAACCAACGTTTGGAGACTAGGTCAAATCAGGTCAACTGGACAATCCCAGGGAAGGTGACACTGGCAGGAACCCTGTGTCTGCCCTCCTAGAGGATTGCACTGCAAACCACCAAGTCTGTTCCGCTATCCAACCTGCAGAGCGAGGGCGGCCACAGGCAGCTCCTCACCTGCCTGGGCTCTGCTGCACGCGCAGGAACCTCAAAGAGCAAAGACAGTTGGCAGGCAGGCAGGCAATGGGGTGAAAGCCATGGCTACGGAGCCTCTAGATCCCAGAGTATCAGCTATGCAGGTGAAGCCACGGCCAGAAAAACGGCTAGAGCAGAGAGGCGTGGTATGTGGTATGTTTGTCTCCTCTGATGCATTTAAGTAAGGGCAGGAATTAAGTAAGGGTTTCTGGGATGCCAGTCCCCATGTGCAAGGGCAGAAGTCAGATAGAAACAGGGCTAAAAACGGAAGCAGAGTTAGCCAGCCCACACAGGGTATAAGCTGAGCCAGACCAGGAAAAGTGAAGGGCTGGAGCCTCCGGCAAAGTTGAACCAAACTGTGTCTGTGTGGATATGGGGGGTGGGCAGGGAGCTGAACCATGTACATCAATGCCCCTCAGTACTGGCCCCGGCATCTGCTACAGCCCGGTCCCACCAGTCCACATACTCCACTCTGCCCCAGCAACAAGAACGACCTGTGGCCCTCCAAAGGGTCACCCTGCACCAGAACCTGAAGGTAAACTAAAGAGAGTTCCTTGGCCCACCATCTGCCAGGGTCCTAGGAAAGGCGAAGGGCCCTTCCAGAGAGCTGAGGCCTGGGCATTCTAACAGACTTCTCGCTCTGGAGACAGAGGCAGGCAGCTTGACATTGCTCCTGAACTCCTTAGGAACTCCTTCCCCTACGCTGCACGAGTGCTAGGATATGCACGCACGCACGCACGCACGCACGCTCCTAGAGGGAGGTGACTAGGAGCAAAGTGGGCGCCAGGCTCCAAGACGCCCACCTATGCCCCACCTGCGGGTGGCTCTGCCGCCGGCTTCCAATACCTCAAAGGATGGCAGGACGCGCTCCCCTGACCAAAGTTGCCTTGCTCTAATTTTCAAACGCCACTTGTCACTTTCAGACAAATCTAGGAGTAACTCCAACAACTCAGGGCTCCGCTTCCTATTTTACCAGCTGCTAGAACGCGGTGTGCACCGCGGGCTGCCCCACGCCGTTTGGGAAGCAGGTTCAGGACCTGCTCTAAGGTAGCAGCACCGAGAACAGTGCAGGGCCGCCTATTAAACCACACGACGGCACTGGACGCAGAGGAGCGCGGTGGGCCGCACAGGTGCAACCCCCACCTGGGCTCGGGGGCCCCAGTGCTCCTGGCGGCAGGAAAGTGAGGACGCACGCATACGCGGCCCCGAGCAGAGCCTCACGGGAACATAGGGGGAGGTAAGGACACGCAGGGAGTCACGTCGCAGACCCGCAGCCGCGGCAGAGCGACTCTCACCTCGCCACACACCGGGCCGCGAGGACCCGACCTCCTACCCCAGTTCGTCTGCTCACCCGCGCCAGGCGCGACTCGGTGCAGCCCCCAAATATCGCGGTATCTCGGCCGTCGTCCCGCTGATCCTGACTGGCACGGAGTCTCGCGAGAGTGCCGGGTAGGCCGCGCGACAGCGCAGCCTTCTGGGAGCTGTAGTGTGCTTTGCCTTCTGGGAGTTGTAGTCGGCTGGGGCGTAGAGGAGACGTGCGGAGTGAACCTGGGCTTCCTCTTGTTCTTGGGTCTCTCTGGGGCCTGGCCTAGTTGTCAGACCTCATCTTCCTCATCTCATACACACTCGCTGCTCACCATTTCAGCAATTTTGTTTTCCTTTTTAACTTTGCCAGAGCGCGTGTGCACTCCCGGGGAGAAGCAGGGGAGTGACAGAGAGCTCGCCCATGGCTATCCAGCAGCAATCCCTTCTTTTCTCCCTCTAAGCTTCCTGGGCACGCTCGCACAGGCACCCAGCATTTTCAGGCTGCCAGGTCCAGGACTGAACTCTGCAGTGGGCCATGTGGGATCTGGCCACCTTAATCACCACGCCACAGGCTAGTCCCATTTGGTTACTTAGTATTTTCTAAGTCTCTTCTGCTTTAGGTGCATAGGACACAGCGGTAAATCAGGACTCCTGCTCTTGAGACCCATAGGGACACAGAATGGCAGGGTAAGGCCCCCTCAGTAGATGGCGGAGGGGCCTAAGAAGGCTGTGCAGGAAAGCTCTCAAAGGAGTCACTTGAGGTGGCTCTTAAGGGTGCCAGGAGCTCAGCCAGCCTTCCAGATGGAGGGCATAGCAAGGAGAAGGGAAGTAGACGGCATGGTGGCTACACTTCCTGCCCTCCTTTCTCCAGTGGCCCCCACCCATGTCCACTGAGGCTGCTCAGCCTGCTGCAGGGCCTCCGTGAGCTGAGTGAGGCTCCGTGCACTACCCACCCTGCTGTGAGCTCTCTGAACCAGCCAAGCCCCCTCGCCTGAGACCCAGCCCTCTCCTGTTTCCTTCTCCTGCCAGGCAAGAGGTCCCTGTGGCAATGCCCAGGCTGCCTTTTGGCCCAGGGAATGATTGGCCACAGAGCCACCCAGTCCATCCTGCCCAAGCCCACATGAAGACACACCACACAGCAGCACGCACAGGGCCACAGGTTCCCCTTTATTAGTTCACTCGGTTCCCACAGACAGACACATTGGCTCAGGCAGATCAACTGCCCTCGAGGACTGGTCTGTCTCCCAGAAACAAGGAGCAGAGGGCACCAGGAGAAGGCTAGAGCAGATCACCGGCTGGCTGCAGACCTGAGGGTCCCCAGAATTGACCTGGGCCCTCCTCTACTCTGACCCCAGGCCAGACCATCAAGCAGGGACCCCACTCTCATCCTCGTTCCCGCCCCAGGAAAGTGCACGGTTGCCTGGAGATGCAGCATCCCAGGGCCTGAATGGGCTGGTCCATACACGGGTCACACGGGTCACGGGCTTGCCCCAGCCCAGAGCCAGGCAAGGCCATAGATGTCTGAGCCAGGAAAGAGGACAGGCCAGTAGGACCGGAAACTGATGAGATGGCACCCCGCAGCTCCTGGATACAGCTGGCGGCTGGACCCCGGCTTCCTGGAGCTACCAGAGAGGAAGGGAAAGGGAGTCCGAGGGCAGGGGTAGGGGCGGGGCAGGGGAGGAAGGGCCAAGACCTGGGGTCTCGTTTTAGGTGCCAGGGGCTACAACAACTGCTTTCAGGTAACAGTAGAGGAGAGAACCTCATACTTTCTGAGCCAAGCCTAAGGACCCTTAGGAAGAGAACTTTCCAGAAGCCCCTGGCTCCCCTTACAGGGAAAGGATCTGGAGTTCAGCGCTCAGAGTGGGCTCCGAGCTGGAGCCAGCCCGGGGTGGCCAAGTGGGACTTGGTTTCTCGGTCCAAAGAGCCCAGGTAGTCTTCTGTTGGGAAGAGGGTGGTGGAAAATGGGCGACTGGGTGAGGATGCACTCCCTCCAGGACTCAGCTAGAGTGGGAGCCGCCACCAGCCCTGTGCTCACACTGCTCGGACAGAACTGCCCCAGGGCCTGGAACTGCTCTCCTGGAAGGGTGAGAAAGGGCCAAGAACCAGTCCTGCAGGCAGAGGGGAGCAAGTTGTGTTGATTTTAAAAAACACACCAAGCAGCAAAACCTAAAGGCAGAGGGCTGCCCACCCCAGCCCTCCTAACCGGAGTCTCGTCAGGCCACTGTATCAGCACTTGCTGCCAGGATGGGGCCTGCTGCTTCCTGGGCCCTCTCTGCTCAGGGCCCACACCCACCTGTGACAAAGAGCATACCTCCCGTCTGTCGCCGGGCCCTGGCCTTCCTTTAGGATCAGCCCTGAGCAGTCCCTTCTGCCAGACCCAGACAGCTACAGCTCCCAGGAGCCCAGTGGTCACTCAGATCCTAGAAAGCCTGGTGGCCAGGGCCGGCCAGACCTCCCCAGGGACCAGGGATGATTTAGGTGCCCTCTGTTCTAGCTGGGCCTGTCCTGCACAACACAGTCGCGCTTCTCGGGGCAGGCCATGCCACCCCCCACCCCCATGGGCAGATGCCACCTGGCAGGCGGTGGGGTCAGAGTTGCAGAATCCAGTTACAGTGGCAGGGGTACTGTCAGGAGGCAGAGAGCCACGGAGTGGGGCTCGAGGAGGCTTTGGGGACAAGGGGAGGAGAAGGCAGAGAAGGGAAAGGAGGAGCCTGCCTCTGCAGACCCAGCTCTCAGCACTCCCACCCCTGCGAGCAGGCCCCCAGGTGGCTCTGCTGCTCCTCTGCATGCCCGTCCCTCACCCAGCCCCCAGCGGGACTCAGGCCCAGCTTCCTCCATCGGGAGCCAGGGTAGACCTGAGAACCCGAGCCCAGTTAGCTAAGGTTGACACAACTGGGGTACCCGGGCTGGAGGACGACAAAGAGAAGCTGCACGGGGAAAGAGGGACTCTGGAAAAGCCAGGATGGCACAGGGAATGGGACAGCAGGAAAGAAACGAGGGGACAAGGTTGAGGGGAGATGAGAGGAACAAAGGAGGACCCCCTGCCTGACCCCACCCTCCCACCATGGGTGCTAAGTACAGCTGCTTCCCAGGAAGACCCAAGTGGGAAGGGTTTCAGCTCTGAACCCTAGGGAGGGGGCCGTGATCTCTGCTATGCCCCCCCGGGGGTCCCCGGGCCAGGGTCAGAGGGAACAGCCTGCTGGAGGGCAGAGGGGCTGGTTTAGTTCTAAACACATCTAGCACCACGAGACACCTCCACTGCACACGATTTTACAAGGGGACACGGGCACAGCCACCACTGCGTGGGATAGCCCCTGTGCAGCCCACGGCTCTGAGGGCCAGGAGCAGACTCCAAAGGCAGGGGCAGGCGGGGACAGACATAGACATATACATACATACATACATACATACATACATACGGCAGGGGTACTGTCAGGAGGCAGAGAGCCACGGAGTGGGGCTCGAGGAGGCTTTGGGGACAAGGGGAGGAGAAGGCAGAGAAGGGAAAGGAGGAGCCTGCCTCTGCAGACCCAGCTCTCAGCACTCCCACCCCTGCGAGCAGGCCCCCAGGTGGCTCTGCTGCTCCTCTGCATGCCCGTCCCTCACCCAGCCCCCAGCGGGACTCAGGCCCAGCTTCCTCCATCGGGAGCCAGGGTAGACCTGAGAACCCGAGCCCAGTTAGCTAAGGTTGACACAACTGGGGTACCCGGGCTGGAGGACGACAAAGAGAAGCTGCACGGGGAAAGAGGGACTCTGGAAAAGCCAGGATGGCACAGGGAATGGGACAGCAGGAAAGAAACGAGGGGACAAGGTTGAGGGGAGATGAGAGGAACAAAGGAGGACCCCCTGCCTGACCCCACCCTCCCACCATGGGTGCTAAGTACAGCTGCTTCCCAGGAAGACCCAAGTGGGAAGGGTTTCAGCTCTGAACCCTAGGGAGGGGGCCGTGATCTCTGCTATGCCCCCCCGGGGGTCCCCGGGCCAGGGTCAGAGGGAACAGCCTGCTGGAGGGCAGAGGGGCTGGTTTAGTTCTAAACACATCTAGCACCACGAGACACCTCCACTGCACACGATTTTACAAGGGGACACGGGCACAGCCACCACTGCGTGGGATAGCCCCTGTGCAGCCCACGGCTCTGAGGGCCAGGAGCAGACTCCAAAGGCAGGGGCAGGCGGGGACAGACATAGACATATACATACATACATACATACATACATACATACATATATATATAACTCTGGTTCTTTGTACAAAGTGGGGACGAGGAGAGAAGGGAAGAGGGAACCCTGCTTGGTCACCACAACACACGATGTGGCTTGAGCCCTGTCCCCTGGCCGGCAGCCCTCCGCTGGGCGTGGCTGGCTCACATCTCGTTGGAGTATGTGTAGTTGGGGGTGGCGGAATACTGAGTCTGCGGCTGGTTCATGGCCCCCTGGGCCGCGCCCATGGCTGCGTTCTGGGCCGCCTGCTGCACGTGTGGGTTCTTCCAGGCCCCGGTGGTCCACTCCTCCTGAGCTTTGCTGAAGCTCCCTCCGCTGCCCCGGTAGAACTTATGAACCTGGCAGAGAAGAAGGCACACAACCGAGGGAAGGGGCGGCCCGTCAGAGAACAAGCGCGGCCCATCGGCAAGAAAAGCCCTGCCCCCACACGCATGCCCGGGCACTGGTGGGAAATGCAGTGGGCAGTTCGCACGTGTCCCCGGAAGGCCTCTAGGGCCTCTTGTACCTCGGAGGAGAGGTCGTGTCAGATCAGTCCCTCCCCAGAGTCACCCTCTCACCCTGGAGGCAGCACGTACCATGCTGAGGGCGATGAAGGAGAAGACGGCCATGACCGTGAACATGACCGTGGGGATGAGCATCACCACAGCGGAGCCCACGTTAGTCCCGAAGAAAGAGATGGTGGCGATCCAGCCGCTGCAGGAAGAGGCCGGCTGCAGGCTGTGTGGCCAGGGAGGGGGCCCTGGAGCCACCCCCGGGCAAGGGCCTGTCGCATGGAACCTTGTCACTAGATAGACGGACCCTCTTACTGAGACCCAGAAGGCCTGTGTCGGTGGCTTGGAAGACCCTTCCCCGCGACTCAGGAGAGAAGCTCTTTCTCCAGGCCTTCCCACAATGCCAACACCCTGAGCGCCCCGAAGCCACTGCTAGGCTCGTCCCCTCTGGCACTATGGCAGCGGTTGTCCAAATCCTCCCACTCTTGCGATAACCGGCTGCTCACGGTTCCCCCAGGCTGGGCAGCCCCGCAGACAGAGAGGCCCTGCAGCCAGCCCGGGCCGACCCTGCCTCTTACCAGACGCCCCAGCCTGGGATGCCCACAGCCTGGATGATGCTGATGACCAGCTGGGCCATGAAGGTGAAGAAGAACGCCATGAAGCTGAAGGAGCTGTCCGTCCTGTGGCAGAGAGGACGCCCCCGTTACCCGGGCAGATGGCGGGGCCCCCACGCCCGTCACAGTTCGAGTGAGCGCAGGATGGACAGCAGTCATCCCTTAACTGGGACGGCGTTCACCCATAGATCTTTGCGGGAGTCACTGTGTTTGGCCTGCAGGTGCAACACTACACAGGAGGGGACCTCCTGGAAGGGACTGTCCCTGGGACCTGGAAGCCTGGCCCATCATCATGTGGCAGAGATAAACAGACCACCGGCCCCAGACAGCTAGGCCACTGTTCCCACGGGCTTAGTCCCACTGGCACTAGGAGGGACACTCCGCTGGCACAGTAGCTAGCTGGCACCTACGTGGATGGTCCAACAGGCAAAGAGGGCCAAGGCCCCATCCGCATCGAGGTGGCTACTCTGCTGGCACCAGGACAGATGGCCTTGTAGGTTCAGGGGTAAATGATGCCGTTGGCACAAAGATGGAAAACCCCATTTGGCACCAGGGAGATACCCGTCGGCACCAAGGCAGCCCGTTCGCATGCTAACCCACGAACGCGTGCTCTCCCTTGGGCACAGAACTGAGTGACACCAGAACATGGTCAGTGGTTCGTGGGTGGCTATTTCCACCAGCACGTGGATACATGGTCTTAGCACCCAGCCAGCTTGCCCCCGGGTCCGAGGACAGGGAGCTCCACTTAGAGCAGAGGAGGGCAGAAGGCAAAACCAGGCCAGGGCTCCGTGTTGCCCCCCCGCCCCCACCCCGACCCAGGTAGAGCGAGGAGCGAAGGGATGAAGAGGGAAGTCTTTATGCTCAGTTGTCTCACCCCAGCCTGGAGCGCCCCGGTCAGCCCCTCCTGGCAATCTGAGCCAACCAAGGGACAGTGAGTTTGGGGAGTGGCAGAACAGAGACAGGAGTGGGCAGCGACAGGGCCAGGAGCTGGTCGGCTCCCACCACTTACTTGAAGGCCTTGTAAATGGGCCGAAACCAGCAGACGTAGGAGCAGGGTGTGAAGAGGATGAGCCAGAGAAAGGCCAGGCCAAAGTTCGTGGCTCCCCCGCCTCCGATCAGCCACGCGAGACAGCCCACCAGGTTCACGGCCAGCGTGACGCTGTTCACTGCAGACCCAGGAGCACGTTCACGCACAGGCACGCGAGCACCCAGACACAGAGACACACACACCAGGACCTCGGCACAGCCCCGCGGTCAAACGGTACAGCACGCAGCGGCAGGAAGGTGCAGACGCACGCACAGACCACGTTCACGGATCCACACCCACCACCATATCAAACACATACACGAGACACATAAGACACACACAGAAGTACAGATGGTAAGAGAGAAAGCTGGAGCTCAGACCCTCCCCACACCCACTCCGGGGGACGTGAGACATCCAGAGCGCGAAGGGCCTCCGGAGCGGGAACCCAGAGCTTCTGCCCAGCAAAGCGCTAGGAAGGACCCCAGAGCCTCAGGGTGGTGGAAACGCTCTCCTCCTCTCAGAATGGCCTCAGTCCCTGGCCCTGAGACCCACAGCAATCCCAAGCTCGCGGCACAGGAAACTCCCTTCTTATATCCTCTCTTGCAAGGTAGGGCACAGAACGGGAAAAGCGGAAGTCCTTGTGGAGACAGCTCTGAAAGCCATCGTACCATCTGCACTCGAATGGGGCCGGCTCCGGCGGCTGGCATCTCTGTCTCTCCTGATCAATTCCCTAGACAACTGTCCAGTCACCTCCTCCAAGAAGCCCTTCTTTCACTACTGTAGACTTCCTGTTTCCTTCTGAACTCTGTAGACGTGGGCTACTCTCACTCCCACCACAAATCCTGGCCTGTCGACCAGATGAGGAGCCCTCAGAAGCCGTCCCCGACGCCCCTCCTCTGTCCCCACATCATCGAGCTGAGCCTAGAGTCACGGCACTGCTGACACAGCCACAGGGACCTCAAAGGCCTCCCTTTTCACAGGTAAGAAAACAGATGCTGGCGCCAGCACGCGTGTGGGTCTGCTTCCGCGAGGACGCGCCCTTCCTCGGTCCCTAGGCTGAGTCCACGTGGACCTGCTGAGTCAACAGAGGAAGGGGGCTCGGTCCTGGCCTCCGACAGTCAGGCAAGGTATCCGTGCCGTCCGAATAGAAGCCTTAAGCACCTTGGGGTTACAGACGTTTCCTTGGGAGTAAAGCACCTGGCAGGCCCCCAGCGAGGGCTTAGGAAGTATTTATAGCGCGTAAATCCGCTTCTGCAGATCTTCCTGGAGCAGAGTTCCTGGAGCCCGTGGCTACACAGAATGCTCCCCAAGTCTGGCCTGCCTGACAGCCCCATCACCTGCTCAGGTACACCCGTCTCGGGGCCCTCACGGTGAAGGTGGACGTGACCTCCTCCACCTCTATTCATGGCCACCAATTCCTGGAGCCTTGACGTTCTCACTGATTTTATTTGCTCTTTACACAGAAAGGACATAGCACACCCACCAGCACCTCTCCTCCCCAGCTCCCGTGCCCTGCTGCTCCTGCTGCTGTGAACCTACCCCCTCCGTGGAGCAGACGGACGCCCAGGGACAGGCCCACTCTTTCTCTAGCCACCAGCCTCTGTCTATCGTCACCTCTCTCCCTCGCAGCTTCGATTCCTTAATTGCGTGCACTCATTTCCGGATGTCCCGCCCGGCCCTGTCTTCTGGGTAACATCTCCCCCCTGTACCTGAGCCAAATGGTGCTGATGTCCCGCCCGGCCCTGTCTTCTGGGTAACACATCTCCCCCCTGTACCTGAGCCGAATGGTGCTGGGGAGACGAGACAAGCCCAGTGCCTCAACCCCACACGGACCCCATGCAGGGGCTAGAAATCCCAAAGGCCAGGTTCTCTGGAGAATGACCCCCACATTTCTCCAAAGCTCCCAACCCATCAGGCATCCTGTCTGAGGGAAAAAAACAGAAGCCATCAAAGGCAAGGTGACGGCCTCATTTCCTTCCCAGCATCTACAGACCAACCCACCCTCTCTCTTGCTATGTGGGGAGAGATCCCTTCTCTGCCCAAAGACCAAGCCGGGGCGTCAAACTCAGTCAGATCCCAACCTCTTTCTGTCGTGCCATAAAGGGTCTCCTGCAAACACGGCATTCTTCCCCATTCTGAAAGCAGGGGGTCGCTATGTTACCCAGGCTGGCCTTGAACTCATGACCCTCCTGCCTCAGCCTCCCAGGTAGCAGGGACTGCAGGCACACGCCACTGCCCCGGCAAGGCAGCATTCTCTACCCCAGGTGGGCCTCTCTGCAGGTAAGCAGCTACGTGCAGGCCCGACTCGAGGCCCTGGCACAAGTGGCAGACGCCAGACCCTGCTGTCTCCATAGGACAGCCGGCCTCCCCTCATAGGCCTAAGAGGTGCCTCTGCCAGCCTGGGCACAGACAAGCTCATCCTCCCAGGATGACACCTTCCCTCTACCCTGCCAGACTCTCAGCACGAGGGGCCTTTAACCTTCCCCTCAAAACCTCCAACCTCCAGACTCTAAGCAGCACAGAGCCCACACCCTGGGCTCACAGCCATGCCCCCACCCCCGAGCACCTCGCCTGCAGACCAGGAGCTGCTGCTCAGGAAGGGGCCCCACACCTCCCGACTCCTGCTGGATGCTCCCTGCAGTCTTCCAGAGAACACAAGGAAACTGAGGCTTCGCGGGAGAAAGTCCTCTGCAAATCCATAATCCTGAGGCCTTGGCAGTCACCAGAAGCTCCGGGGAAGCCATCCCGTGGGAATGGGGAAGGGAAGCCAGAAGAAAAGCCCCAGTGCAGAACAGACCTGCATCCGATGCTCTGCGGACGGGACGGGGCGGGGAAACTGAGGCCCAGCCGGGAAAGACTTACGGGGCCGGAGATGCTGCCCGTGAGGCCTCGGGGGCCTGCCTGGCTCGCCCCTCCACACCGCCCACACCCCGCGGCACTCACGCATCCAGAGGTAGTAGAGGCGCTTGGTCATGCTGAGATGCTGCGGAGGGATGTCGGCCTCGAAGTCCTGGTAGAAGCACGGCTTCAGCGGGATGAATTTGGGCAGCGGAGGGAAGTTGTTCGCCTTCTCTGTGGGCGAGGACATCGTGGGCGTCACCTCAGCGAGCCTGGCCCCAACAACCCAGTACGCCCACCCACTCCCGGGCTGGGCTGCACCCTCTTCCCCTGTGGCCTCTGGTCACTTCGGTGTCCCCACCCAGCCACCCCTGCGGCCCCAAAGCTCAGAAGATCAAAACCATCAACATGGGCCAGAGAGTGGCATGGTGATTAAAGCGGCTGGATCCCACATGCTCAACTGTACAGTTCGAGTCCCAGACCCAGGAGCTTGGAAGGCATGTGAGCACGTGTGCGTGCGTGCCCCAAATCCCAAAAGGAGGACGGGGGAGAAGGGACTGTGCGGGGCCATCCTCCCAGGGGACTTTCTCACTTTCCTTCGCTCCTCTGGTAAGTGCATGCGCCCTCGAGCAAATAAAAAAACGAAACCAAGGATGGTCAGAAAAAAACCTGACCAGCAAAGGTAAGTAGGGGGAAGGGGACAAGGACGAGGGCCCCGCCCGGTGCTCGCTTCGTGCCCCACCCCGGCCCGCTGCTCTCCTTACCCGCCATGATGGCACCAGCTGGCCCAGCAGCCCGCTCACGCCTGTCTGTCCTGAACTGGAAGGAAAGCCAGGGAAGGGCGCCAGTCAGTGCCCCAGGCAGGCCGGCTGACGCACCCCAGTGGGACCCACCACACAGGGCAGCCCCTGCCTCAGAGCCACTGGAGCCACCGTTCTACCCACATCCTTCCAGCTTCACCTGCCCTCCGACTCAGTGCACAGGGGCTCTCAGAAAACCCCATCCCAGGGGCGCTGTGCTCATGCCCCCAAAGTTCACAGGCTGAGATTCATACGGAGATACTGAGGAAACGCAGCGCCCTCACGGTGCCGACACACGGGGTCTCGGGAGTCCGTGACCAGGGTGGGGACCCTGTGAGCGGCTCTGGTGGGCTGTGAGGGAAGGAAGTGACCACAGAGACTTGCAGACAGCGCTCTGCTGCGCTCTCAGCCTCGCGATGTGAGCAGGACCCCGCCCACCGCCCAGATTCGCCCCTGGACCTTGGGCCTCTGATCTGAGTGAACAAACCTCTATTCTTATAAATCACCCAGTCTCGGCTATTTCCATTAGCAACACGGTAGCAGACTGGGACAGTGGGAAAGGAAGCTGGGAGGGCACCCACTCCGCTCCCCCAGCCCCATGCAGGGGAAAGCCAAAGGCTTGAGGGCCCAGAGACGACTAAAAGAGGACATTCTCCTCCCTGACCCTAAGCACAGGCTGAGGCCCGGCCTCATGCACAGGCTGGCTCCCCAGCCTCCTACTTTGGCCCTCGGCCATCTGCTCACGTACCGGGCCTGGAGAGAACCCGGGCAAGACGGCCGTGGTCACTGCCCTGTGCGTGAGACAGGTCAGGGCCTGCAGTGAGCCATGGGAGGGGACACGGCTGCTGAGAGAACAGGCCACAGTGTAGGGAGGTGCTCTAACTCCCTGGGGAGTCAGGGGAACAGGACCTAAGTAGGCAGCAAGGACCTGAAGAGCAGGGCCAGCCCGTGGCCAAGTATTTAAGGGAGCTGGATCCTGCATGGCCAACCATGGTTCGAATCCCACCCAGGCAGCTTGGAAAATATGCCATGTGTGGGTGTGTACCCCAAATCCCAGCAGGGTGGAGTGATGGGGAAGGGACTGCAGCATGACCATCCCTGTAGGGGGTGCTTTCTCTGTCTCTTTTCCGTCTCTCTCAGGCAAGCACACATACCCCATGGAAATTGAAAACCAACGACAAAAAAACACTCATAGTATTTTAGTCAAATTTTCTTTCTTTTTTTTTTTTTTTTGGAGAGATTTTTGCTATAGGGCGCGTGCACTCACCAGACAGACAGAGAGAGACATAGAGACAGAAAACGAGAAATCACCCCCCAGGGGGGATGGTCACGCAGCAATCCCTTCTCCTCCATTCTCCTCTCGGGATCTTGGGCACGCACGCACACGCGCCCGGGGTGAGTTTTAAGCCACCGGGTCCGGGACGTGAACCGCGTTCGACATAACCATTACACTAACTGCTGGTTCCCTAGTCAAATTTTCTTGATTCACTTAAAACGTTGCGCAATTGGCACCAGCAGGTGGCATGGGGGTTAAGGTGCTGGACACTCCCAACCACGGTTTGAGTCCCACACCGGATAGCTTGCTTTCTCACTTTCCCTCTCTCTCTATCTCTCTCTGGTCAAATTAAAATTAAATGAATGAATAAATAAAATTAAATAAATAATTAAAAAAAAAAAAAAAGTCTGGGCAATTAAAATCTTTTTTGGCCCGGGCCAATCAGGTGTAGTGGTTAAGGTGGCTGGATCCCACATGGCCTAGTGTGAGGTTCAAGCCCCAGCTCCGGCAGCTCGAGAGACATGCCTGGTGCATGTGGGGCCCGGCCTGGCCAAAATCCCAAGAGGAAAATGGAGGATAAGGGTCTGTGGCATGGCTGCCCCCTGGTGGTGCTTTCTCACCTTCTCTGTCTTCAGCAAGTGGGTGTGCCCTCTAGCAAACTGCTAAAACAATCTTTTGTGGCCTTCTTATGATATGGAATTAAATACAGACGTGAGGGGCCAGCAGATGGCGTGGTGGTTCAGGGCACTGGACCCCCACGTGGCTAACTGTAGTTTGAGTCCTGAACCTGGCAGCTTGTCTTCTCACTTTTTCTCTCTCTCTGGTCAAATTAAAATAAGTAAGTGAATTAATAAAGTTAAATAAAATAATTCTAAAATAAAAAATTACAGGCATGAAAACCTAATAACATCTACCACAGAACAGAAAAGATCGGTATGTCAGAGACAGTCATGAAATGATACCACCCGTGATTGCATTACCTGTGGCACTAGAATGACAAGGGACGAGCCCACCAGCAGGGGAATGGCTAAATACATAGTGTGGCCACACGGTGATCTGCTCGGCAGTTTTTGTTCGTTTGTTTGTTTTCTAAAGAGAGATATTTTGCTACAGAGCACCTGAGCTCACTGGAGAAACAGAGACAGAAAACGGGAAATCACCCCTCAGGAGCGATAGCCACGCTGCAATCCCTACTCCTCCAGTCTCCTTTCAGGATTTTGGGCACACACTCACATGTGCCCAGTGTGAGTTTGTTTTTTGTTTTTTAAAGAATTCTTTCACTTACATGTATTTATTTAGTTTAATTTGGCTAGAGAGGGACAGAGTGAAAGAGAGAGAGAGAGAAAGTGAGAAAGCAAGTCACCAGGTCTGGGACCATCCAGCGCCCTTAACCATCATGCCACCTGCTGGCACCCCCAGTGCGAGTGTTAAGCCGCCAAGCCCAGGACTCAAACCGTGGTTGATTGTGTGGGAGTCCAGTAACATAACCATTACACCATCGGCTGGTCCCTCGGTAGTTATTTTTTAAAATGCTCTGTAACTGTTAAATTTTATTTTTTAAAAACAAGGGGGGGGGGCCAGCAGACAGCATGGTGGTGAAGGTGGTGGACATTCCCACATGGTTGACCATGGTTCGAGTCCCAGACCTGGTGGCTTGTTTTCTCACTTTCCCTCTCTCTCTGGTCAAATTAAAATAATGAATGAATAAATAAAATTAAATAAATAATTCTAAAAAAATAAAGAGGGAGTTCTATTTGTACAGAGAGGAGGGACAATTTCCACAATGCCTAGTAGTTGAAAAATGCAAAATGTAGACTGGTCTACACAATAGGTTATCTTTCTTTAAAATTCATTTTTAAAATAATTATTTTACTTGGGCCAGCAGTTGGTAAAATGGCTATGTCGCTCAATTTCCATGTAGTTGATTGTGGATGGAGTCCTGGACCTGGTGGCTTAAACTCACGCTGGGCGCGTGTGCGTGTGTGCCCAAGATCCTGAGAGGAGAATGGAGGAGAAGGGATTGCAGCATGGCCATCCCTGGGGGGTGATTTCTCGCTTTCTGTTTGTCTCTCTCTGTCTTTCTGGTGAGCGCACGCACCCTATAGCAAAAACATCTAAAAAAATTTCTATTTAATTTTATTCATCATCGTTACTATTCTTTTCCCCCCCTAAGTTGATCAGAGAGAAACAGAGGGGGGGAAAGTGAGAAAGCAAGCCACCAGGTCTGGGACTTGAACTGTGGTCAGCCATATGAGCGTCTGGTGCCCCAACCACCACACCACCTGCCAGCCCCTCTTTTTTTTTTTTTTTTTTAATTTGACAGAGTGTGTGCATTCACTGGAGAGAGATAAAGAGAGGGAGAACTAGAAAGCACCCCCATAAGGGATGGCTACACTGCAATCCCTTCTTCTCCATTCTCCTTCCTGCCAGGATTCGAGGCACACTTACACACACATGCCTGGTATGCTTTTCAAGCCGCTAGGTCTAGGGCTTAAACCGGCAGTCAGTCACGTGGAATCAGCTGCCCTGACCACCCACTAGCCAGCCCCGGTTTTGCTATACTGTTTTTGTTTGGTTTTGCCTTAGGGCACACGTGCTTCCCAGAGAGGGAGAGGGAGAGAGGGAAAGTGAGATGTCACCCCCAGGGGTGCCACGCAGGATCCCTTCTCCCAGGGTTTTGGGCACGCACACATGCACATGTGCCTGGCATGTTTCTCGAGCCACCAGGTCCAGAACTCACACTGCAGAATAGGCATGTGGGACCCGGAGTCTTTGCCATGCCACCTGCTGGCCTTGTATGTTTTTTTTTTTTTTAAAGGAGAGGAGAATAAAAATAAGTTTTCCTGGGGACCAGCAGGTGGCATGGTGGTCAAGGTGCTGGACCCTCCCACATGGCTGACCACGGTTCAAGTCCTGGACCTGGTGGCTTGCTTTCTCACTTTCTCTCTCTCTCTCTCTCTTTTTTGTGTGTGTGTGTGTGTGTGTGTGTGTGTGTGTGTGTGTGTCCTTCTGGTCAAAGTAAAAAATAAATGAATGAATAATTAAAATAAAATAAAATAATTCTTAAAAAAAAGTTTTCCTTTTGACCCAACAAGCCTACTTGTAGGCATCTACCCACAAATAAGAAACTACATGTACACGATTCAATGCCATGCTATTCCCAACAGCGACTGCCACGTGACTGTTTATCGTAAAGCAGGCACGCCATACCACAGGGTGTTACAGAAGCACAGAGGAGTGAGGGTGCGCTCTATGGAATGCTGTGGATGAGTTCCAGGGTGTATTAAGAAGCACAAAGTACAGCAGAGCATAGATCCCACCCCTTATGTAAGGAAGGGAAGTAAGAACACACACAGGAATTTGCTTACTTAGGGGGAAAAAAGAAAAAAGGAAACCACAGTTAGAATAAACCAGAAATTGATGATGCAGTCCCCACGTGATGGGGGGCTAGGCTGAATACAAAGACCTCTCTAGATGAGCTTTTGATACACTTTAACGCAAATAAGGACTTACATGTTTGAAAAACTTAAACCAGAAAGAAGAGCAGACTAAAATGGAAACAAACAGAGACAAATGAAGCTAACTGTCCGTTACACTGACAACACCATCACACAGGAAAACGAATCAGTCCAAGGAACTCTGGGTCACAGTGCTCCATGTTCTGGGAAGGTCTTCCCGGAGGGCAGAACGGCAGGAAGGCGGCCCTGAGTGTGGGCGGGCCGCTGTTACTGCGTGGTGTTCTC